TTATAACACTGATCTTGGGCTCCTTTTCTACAAACTTTATATGTAGTTCTATTGTATGCACAGGTGTTAGGTGAGCTATCTTGGCATCCTTCTGGTTTCATTGTATAGTAAATCAAAGTCTTAGTTATCTGGCTTCCTTGTTTTGTTATCTTAATGCAGTTTTGGCAATTTTTATTTTCCTGTGTTTGTGTCCTTTCTTCGTGTGTACCTAATAGTTTTCTATTAGAGGGTTTTTGCAGTGTGACCTCTTGTGTGACCATTGCACTGATTTGTGTAGGAATGTGTGTGCATATTCCCCATATTAAATAACCAACATGTATTATGATCTGTAGAATCCTCATTTCTTCCACCGTGCGTAGAGAGACAGCTTCCGGAGTGTCTCAGCAAGGTCTGATGTTCACACCGTGTGTTGAGAACCCATTGCCGGTAGGGTTCAACAGGGTGTATTTCTTGTGAATTTTAGCACTAAAGGTTTGTCAATTTTATTCACCTTGTAAGTTACTGGATCAGCAGGTGCAGCTGTTTTCAATCTGGTCCAATGGATCCAGGACTTTCCTTCCAAGGTTTTCACTGCCAATGGAGAACACATGACAACAGTATACGGTCCTTTCCATCTTGGGCTTAAAGGATCTGATTTCCAATGTTTCACCCAAACAGTTTATTGAAAAAGCAGAAAGATGGTTCTTCAGGAAAGACCAGAGGAAAGAAGGGCTGAGCACATGGGCAAGGGGTTTTTATACCCTCTCTAGCCTTTTGTTTGGAATAGTTTCCTGTTCCTGTGGCATGAACTTTGAGGCTATTTCCTGTGTCACCTAGTCTGATCTGAGTCTAGGTGTGCCTCTCTGGTATACTTGATGGTAATGGGTTAGTCCTATTATGTCCCAAAAGTCATATCCTGCTTCCCTGGGGCTGGGCTAATGACTCTTAGAGTTTGGGTGAGGTATGCAGATTTTAAGTTTCTTTGTCTTCTGGCTCCAGCCTTCCTGACAGTTTTACATCTGCATTTGTATAGGGCTAGTTCCTGCTTGGGGCAAAGAGATTTGAGGTCAGAGTGGGTTTGCTTTTAAAAATCCCTTTGAGGAAAAATATATTTTTCTGCCCTTTTAATATTTCCTTCTCTGGGCTAACTTTCCTCAGCACAAAGGCAAAATCGCTTCAGTTCCTGGTGACTTTATGAATACACAAAACAATCCCCGTTGGGTAATCCTTTCAGAGATATTTCCTCACCTGGAGAAAAAGAATCTTGGGCAAGTAAAAAAGCAGTAGGAGCAGGAGTGACTTCTTCCCCAATCACTTTCCTTTGGAAAGTTGGAAGGGAATGAAATGAGTTTGTCAAATTTCAATCCCAGGGGAGTAATGGGCCCGAGCCACAACTTTGCTAAATTAAATTCCTGAGACATTTGGTGCTGTCATGACTTCAGAAGAGTTCACACCTCCTGCTTGCATCCCCATTGATTTCTGGGAAGTTGCCAGAGAACATTCTATACAGGGGGAACCAAGGAAACCTCAGACCAGGGAGGAAAGTGCACCACTGCTCTACACTGCAGTCTATCCCCAAGGGCCATCTTCCTCCAGGGAGGAAGGTGGCTCACCCACTGTCAGCCAGTGTTCTTCAGCAAGCCCTACATTTCCAGTAGGCATCTGAGTGGCTCCCCTGACCTTCGTTACTCACCATTAAGGGATTTCAGATTTTGGGTTTGGTTTCAGATTAGCCAATTGCCACTCACCCATCAGACCTTGCCACCAGCCAGTTTGGGTATATCAGTTAAAGAGTGGCAAGATGTCAGGGATTATCAGTTCTTGTCCTACCTTGGGCATATGGAAAACAAATCTACACTTTTCCGTGTGACAACGCTCAAAATATTGGAAGATGGTTATGATGTCTCACCTTGGTCTATTCTTTAAGCTAAATATATTCAGTTCTTTTAATTGCTCTTCATAGGATTTAGCCTTCAAGTCATCTTTGTTGCAGTTGTCTGCACTCTTTCCAATTCCTTAGCAGCCTTTTTGTATTGTAGCAACCAAACATGCTTTGTCAATGACTGCAAACCTGGTACTTGTTAAGCAGTTCCCTGGGTTGCTAAGCAGATGGGGTGAAAAATCTGCTTATTAAAGAATTTCAGCTCCATTCCTGCAGGCTACTGAAGGGATTCCCCTCCCTTCCATGCATGGAGGGAAAATCCTTCAGGGGACTGTTTGGCTGTTCCTGCAGCTGAAGGGTATATCCTTTGTGGGGCTGGAAGGGAAATCCTTTGTGAGGCTGTGGGGAATTGGCCATAAATGTTTGCCAAACACCCAAAATGTGGTCATATGACTGCAGAGGACTCCCTGTGGTGTGATGTTTTATAAAGGCCAGAAGTGTTTTATTGGCCGTACAGCACTTTTCTGATGCTGCTGTTAACTCTGGTCATTAAATAACAAGCTCTAGGCTGAGGACTACCTGTATTACTTCCTTGTTACATCTATAGGCCACTTCACAATCTGGCAGGTTTATGGATGCAAACTATTTCCTACATTTAAGCAATATAAACCTTATTACAAAATTATTACAATTTTATTGAGAAAAATACAAAGTGTTATCCATGCAATTTTTTATTTTAAATATAAAAAAATCCAAACTGCTGTGTGCCAATGCCAATGTAATATTCAAATATTTCCACATAATGGAGGTTGAATCCAAAAGTTCTCTATTTCATGGAGGCCAGGAATCTGTGATCGAAATCTTATATTCATTTGTATTATTAATTTTATTTGTATTACTTAGAACAATGCAATTAAAACTGAATTTCATATCCAAGAGGATCAAGACCTTGATCCAGAAGCATGAGGGAAGACTCTCTCAACTTCTGTAAGAGTTTCTGGAGTTCCTCCTTGGAAAATACCTGTAGGATAGGAAATAAAAAAATGTAAGCTTAACTACAATTTGAGATAAAATATCCAATCTTCTTTGCCTGGAAATCTGGTGATCAAAGAGAAAACTATTTTAATGAAGTATTCATTCCGCTTCTTAATTCTCTGGATTCTGTAACAACCAGCATGGTAATTCAATTCATTTTTGTGGTTAGCCTACCAATATCCTATTTTATTCAAGTGCTTAATTATATTTCATATTTTATTAAAAATTGGAAAAGCTAGCTTATTCATACTTTTTAATAGTTTGTCTCTGATCTTTGGAATTTTCTACACAATACCATGGACAGTGAAATTAAAGAGAGAAGCAGAGCATTAAAAAGCAGCCCAAAGAATATATTACCATATAGACCCAAAGGTGCTTTTTTCATGAGGCAGTGAGCCATTTGCAGATCTGTACATTGGGGAACAAAACAACCACTTCATAAATGCATGGCACAACATAAGAGAACAAACCCATCAGGAGAAGATTCAGCAGTCCATCTGCATTTAAAAGACAAAGGCCACTCTTTTGAAGACAGCAAAGTCCACATTCTGGACAGAGAGGACCGCTGGTTTGAAACAGGGGTCAAAGAGGCCATCTATGTCAAAACTGAACAGCCCTCTCTCAACAGAGGGGGAGGGATAGGACCTCCAAGGTTCCTTGCAACAACAACATCATCATCATCATCATCATCATCATTATTATTATTATTATTATTATTATTATCTCCAGTCTACAACACAATCCTTTCAACAGTTCCAAGAAGGCTCCACACCCATTTGCCCTACTCAGGTGACCCTGAGGACACAGATAAGTCTCCAGGGGTTTGAACGACTCACTAAAAGAATGCAAATGGCCAGCTGTCTACAAGGAGTTTAAA